CCTGGCACCGGCCCTCTCAGGCCACGAGGAAAGTCCCGCGCGAGTCGGGAAATGACGGCGCGTTTAACGTCGCTCCGTCAAAGTTGCGCTCACTAAAAACAAGGGAAGCTAGTTGGTACAGCATGATGTTGATCCAGAAAGGAACAAACTTGATAAAGTTTTTGTTTTTCTTGTGCTTTGGGAAGAAGAGATGTTGTCAGGGTCTATGACTGTGCAGAAACCAGCTTGTTTTGATTTTTTGACATATAGTCTGCATCATTTCTGCACTGTGCTGAGAAGCTCAGGACCTCCATCCTACAGAAAAAAGACATATAGAATCAAGTATACAATCCAGGGTTTGGCTGCTGGATTTTGTGCTGAAATGAGACTTTTGCAAATCACATTTTCTGGTTATTTTCATCCAGTAAGCCAAACCCTGCCTGTAGGTGATAGGTTTTGTTGTTTTCATTTTACTAATATTTTATAACAAGGGGAAACTTGTGAAATCAGAGCTGGCACGTATCAGCTGTAGAAAATGAAAAAGACAAGTATTTTTCCTGCAGCGAGTCTGATGATGCCTCTTTGAACAGTTTGGGAGATTTATACTTGGATAGCTGCTATCAGAAAGAGAGGCTTAGCAGATTTGATACACCTCCAAACTTTTATATAAACCAAAGTTTATGTGGGAACATTGGAGTAAATGTCAATCATTGGCTCTCCATTGCACAGAATTCTTGACAAAACAGCTCTCAATCACTGAAAAACAGAGCAGCAGCTTTTTTTCTGATGACTGACAAACAGATTGGAAAATTGGCACAAGGCTTCACTGGCCTGTCAGCCTTTGTAGATAAGAGTTTATGAGCCTCCTGAAATGATGTGTGCAATCAACACACACACATACACACACTGGTAATTATAGAATTTACTTAAAGGGATATTCTGGTGTAAAATTAAGTTAGGGTCAGAACAGGACCTAACTTAGGACATCCCAGCCATAGCACTAGCCACCAAACATCTTTTTAACTTTGCCTAATTTCTTCAGCCAAGGGACTAAACACAACTTACCATCTCTCTTCCAGCAGCCGCTTGTTTGTAGCGAGACCTCAGGCCAGTCCATTACAGACTGCTGCGGGGTGATGCAGCTCAAGGAAGAACATTTACGATTATTACCTCATGGAAATGCAATCAGACCAAGACACTAAGGCAGAAGAACTACCGCGTCTGCAGTGCAAAATGATTGTTATGATGATTATTACTTCAAGGAAATGATAAAGTAATGATCATAAATGTTCTTCCTTGAGCTGCGTAACCGGGAGGTCTCTGTACAAACTAAAGTTGGTATAACTAGAGAAGCAAGTGGTCTGCAACATTCATCTCTCGATGGTGTGTCTAACTTGGTGTTACGGTGTGTTTGACCCTAAATTAATTTTACACTAGAATATCCCTTTAAGTCACTCTGCTTTGACTTCTGAAATAAAGCTTCATTTATGTGAAATCTCTCAATCACAAAACTCAGCTCTCTTTTTGACAGATTAAATCATTAGCTCATTACATCTTCAGAAAACACAGTTTAGTCAAAGTCATCAACTGTTTTGTCATTTTAACAGTCACAATTATTCGATAAATTTCCAGTCTGGGTCATTCTTAACTGACTTAATATCATTTGCAAACAAATTTTGTGAAAATATAATGATTTGCAATTGCACATAGTATTTCTATTTTATTCTGTCTGTTCTGTCATAGCTATGTTCCGCAGTAATTGCTTTAACTTGGCAGATTAGACACGCTACACCTCCTCATCTTTGCAGAAAAGGTGACTTGCTATAGTTAACAGAGATTAGAAGTGTGACTGTGAGCAGCTGACAGGATTGGCTGTCACGTTGGCTCAAATCACACAGTGTATACATGTAGTTAAACTGGGGAGATGAGAGCTGCCGGTTACTCTCCTCACCTGTGACAGACATGCCTACAGCATGTGGAGGCAGGCTCCTCCCATATACACGCAAACACACACATTCACAAATACCTTAGTCTCTGCTATTCTTTGTTTGTTATGCAGTGATGCTCCACTTAGTTTGAATTGTAATGCAACTCCTCTGAAAGACTTGAAGCGCCATCTGTTCTCCTCCTTTGTTTGCGTTGCTAACCCTTTTTCACAGAATGTAGTATTTGCATTATAAAACCAAAAGGATATATTTCAGGAAAGGTGAAATGCATGAAATGTTGGGATCATAAGTTGAGACCAGTTTTGTGAAGATTTATTGCTTTTATCAGTTTTTTTCTCAGGTAATTAGATAACAACTACTGCTTAGATTTATGTTTCCTACGTTTATATTTTCCATAATCTGTTCTTCCATTCAGATAGGAAACTATTTAACATAGTGCGCTTTTCTTTTCAAGTCGTTTGGCCGAGACCAGTGGTGGAATATTGTTTACAACAGTGAAGTGATGTATCACAGTGATTACCAGTGCTCATCCTGCCCCCCCACCTAACCAAAACACATTTAATTTATGGATAAAACAGTAAAGATCCTTCTGGTTGGCACAGTCTATAACATCACAAGATCTTGGATTTGAAACAGACATTTAGAGTGATTTAAGTTTAAGGACTCAAATAATTTTTGCTAATTTTCTCTTGCTAATCCTCTACTCTGTTTAGCCAGTGCACACACCGTTGGTATTTGCTCCCCACCTTAAATTAGGTGCCCCCATGGGGTAGCCAGAGATTTTGGGGGGATTGAGACTGCTTTAACTGCTCTGATGTCTCCAAAATTAGGTTTGCTCATGCTGACTACATTCATGAGTGCACGCTTGCTGGATAGTTTGCACGACTGTCTGTCAATAAAGCTTTGTGGAAATTATTTTTTTCCTCACAGTTTTTGGTTAAAAACTTGAAAATTGATGTTTATTTTTGACAGCAATATGTAGCTTTATTCTCTGCGAGGGTCCTGGGCAGGGCTTAGTTTTTCTCAAATAAAGTAGGGGGGTAGTAGTTGGGAACCACTCGTCTATGGTACGAAGACACAGCAGAAGCTGCTTTATTAACTTGTGCTTTATCTACATACATCCTGGTGGTGTAACTTATTAAGTTTACAGTGTTTCCCCTGGAATTTTTTTCAGCAGCGGCGCTTCTGTGTCAGGGGGTGCCTCTTGTTTCATGTTCTAGTACGTAACATGCACTGCTTGCTATATAGATAACTTTAGTGTAAAAGCTTGAACGTTACCTGTCACGCTGATGGAAGAGGGACCGACAGGATTTGATGCGCTCGTTGATGACTCAAAACAATGATCATGTGAAATTTCAGTAGCGGCGCACGTAATTCAGTAGCGGCAAATGAATGTAGGGGAAACATTGGTATAAGTTTCAAGCCTGGGCCCGCATTTGTTATTTTTCATGTTAGGCTTCTCTTAGACTTAGTCCCAGGTCAGGAGCTTTTCAAAAAAAACTTTCAGTATTACCAAACAGTAAATGAGTGTGTACTTCTACCAAAGCTGCTCAAACTTCTGAAGTTTTGTGTTGTTGTGAAAGTAGAAAATGTGATGTAGAAAATGTAGGAACAGTATCAGAAAACCCCTCAGTCTTATCTTCTTAAGTATGGATTTTTCATTCCCTCGTATTTGGCTGAACTTTTCATCATATTGAAGTCAAATTTGTCCCGACGTTTTTTAGATACCTTTTTAAAGAGCAAAATGACAAACGAAAAGGGACCACTAACATAACCTCAGTGGCAAAAGTAATTACACTGAAGGTATAAGGGAGGCAGGAGGGTCTCTAATCAGTTTGTCAGCATTAATAAGACCTTGTGCCTGCTGAGAAGAAGTAATCTACTGGAAACTGATTTGACTGATGAACCTCCAAATAAACCTCCGAGCCAGTGAATCCATCACATTAGACAGTGCATTATCCCGGTGTTATTATGGTGATCACAGAGGTTAAAGTACAGAATGTGTCTATCATAAATCTGAGCGTTAGTGTGTCATGTCATTACACCTCAAGATTATTTATGATATTGCTACTGGCACCTTGTGATAGTAAAACAGTGCAGGTACAATCAGTTTTGTTATTGTTGCTCCTTTGCCAAACACAAACAAGTTCATCTAAAAGCTGCATTTGTGAGACATAACTTTTAAACTGAATGCATTTTAAAAAGAAAATAATATATTTTCGAGGGCCGCTAGCCAGCCCTTGAACATTCTTTTAGTGAAGGTCAGTCTGAAATGATGATGTTTAAATGATTTCCTTCCATATTCAATGTCAAAACGAATTTCTCTCCAGTGATTTAAGACAGAGTGCCATCTTTATTCATGCAACCCATCGAGCCTTGACATAATGAGATAAAGGTGGACTTGAAGTGTTGGGTTAGGTTGAGGTTGAGGACCACATGACATTGTGATACTCAGAATAGCACCACTCTAACTGCTCTCACTTTTATTACTGCCTGAGTGTTGTATTATTAAAAAAGAAACACACATAATGTAGCCGCGATGGGGATCTGCTAATCATGATTGCTTAAACCCTCATAATGTGGGTCACACTGACAGAGGTTCCACAGATTAAAAGATCGCTGAGTGTGCAGTGTGACATGATAAACATGCAGTTAAGGGACCATCTGCCCATATGGTGGGCAATTATATGACAGTTTAGACCCTGTAATGGTGATTGAGTAAGAGAGAGCATTAAAAAGAAACACTTTGCATAACAGGTAAATGGCCCATACAGTCAGAGTGTTTAAAGGATGATCCAACACAGGGTAGGGCCTTCCTTAACTATAACACATCCCTGCTATTCTGATATTTTCTACATCTCCCTTTATACAACCTCACAATGATAACCAATCATGGCTGTCTGCTGCTGTGCGCTGAGAGTTTAATGATCTCTCCACAGACATGCTGAAAGGCCTGTTTTGTATGCATTCAATTTAACTGAATGAGACTCGTTAGAATAAAAGTGTCATGTGGCAAATCCTGACAATTGTTTTGCACAGGGAACAGTTACCCCTTTCCTGGCAGTGCCACGCAGCATGGCCATCTGCAGCCCACATGTCAGAGAGCAGCGGCCAACATGGTGGCAGACAATTGGTGAGGGAGAAGGGCTGGAGCCGGAGCCGAGGTCTAGACGTACTGGAATCAATTTGCAAAGGCTGGAAGAACAAAACAGTCATAAACACATTTTGGGTGCATGTGCAGGCACGCTCTTAATGTAGGATATCTGTGCACACTACCGGTTCCATTTCCTCCATGTATTCTGCAGTGTCCTGGAGAAGCCTTTACAGACTGTGAAGGTCTCTTGAGTTATTCATGGCCTGCAGGGGGCCATCATTCTTATACATTTCACTGCACCATTTGCTTCCATTTAACATCGCTCAAGTGAGGTAATGACAAAAGTCAATATGTAAAAAGGAACAAGGAAGCACTCCAGGTCCAGGAATGGTGAATCACATATTCGTCATGCATTTCAGTGAAGTAGTGTTATGTAAGCAGCACATATAAGGGGTATTTATTACATGCTGAGACAGATAACAGCCCATAAAGATAAATAATGGATCAACCATGGCATACGGTCCTCCTGTCTTGTTCAAGGAGATTTTTCTGAGGTGCAGGCGGTCAATTTGTTGGGTGACATTTTTCAAACGCTGCACATTTGTTTCAGAGGGAATATTCCCCAACACTTTATAGTGAAGTGACAGCGTTGTCCCAGAATATCAGCAAACAGACACAGCCTCAAACATATACACACACACACAAAACACGGCGCGGTGGCTGTGTGCACCAAAAGCTATCAAATGGCAAATGACAGACAATCTGTCAAAACTTGCGTACATCTCATTTGTCTGGGAATTAAAACAGGAAGACAGCTGAGGAATCTCCGACAGCAATCTATTCCTCAGACAATATTCCTCCACCACTTGTATGAGCCAAATGATTATTTACAGCCTGCTGTCGGCTCAGAATGTATGAATAAATTCATGCTGGCGCTTTGGACTGCATGAGGTGTAAGAAAAAACTTGCAAATCTCCCATGCAAGAATTTGATTTATTGATTCACAGATGAGAATCATGTCCTGGATTCTCATCTTCCCGTGATCCAAGTGCGAGTGAAAAAAAAACCCAACTTGTGTCGTGAAGTACTTATGCCTGCCTTTATTTGCTGTTGTTTTTTTAGCATTTATTTTTTCACATTGAGTTTCTAATATTTACTAAATTAATGACATGTTCTGTAACTTGTCTCTTTTTTCCTTTATGAGGTTTTACAAGTGAGATGTCCGTGCTGATTAATGATACCTGTTTGGCTGACAAAAGTCTGAAAAGTGTGTCTGATCCAGAGCAACTCTTGACACTTCATACCAAAGTTTTGAAAGCTGGTAGACAACAGTCTTTCATTATGCAACAGCTCAGGGCTGGTGTTCCCTCTAAAGTCAATGACACTTATCATGGGCTGTCTTCTGGGCCACAGTGCTATCAGTCCGTACAATAGGCTGTTTTTAAATTTGCTGCAAGAAAGAAAGCAGTTCACATAAAGTAATACTTTCTTTGATGAGCTTCTCCTGCTTTTAGTAGCCTGAAGACACATAAACAACAAAATCAGGAAGAAGAGCTAAACCTGTAAACAGAATCTGAGGATTAAGTGACGGTGGCACTCAATTTGCGAAGATGAAATGGTGTCATTAGATGTAATCTTTGCTGAGTTTAAAACCCTGAGACTAGATGATACTTCTTGCATTGTGATTAGATCCCTGGTTTCCGGTAAATGAAATCAGACATCTTCTCAAGATTATACCTCTAATGTGCTTTTTCTTGCTGTTTTCCTTAAAGGTCATTCGGAGATGATGTACTCTTAACAGCTTTCCTGTTTGGAAACTTCCTCTGTGCTTTTGTGGTATTTTTCTGTTTATACTGCAGCAGCTATGTACGTTTTTGAAAGTCAGCCAAAAATCTAGTTGTGTGATGTTTGCTTTATCACAGCCGGCAGCCATTAGATAAAACACTTTTGAAGCACACAGAGAAGAAAACTTATTTTTCACACAGTGGATTACTATCAATGCTACACTGTGACTTCTGGATGCATTAATCAAATACTCCTAGCATGTCAGGGGGTTTATTCAAGGGCAACTAGTAAGTCTGCATTTATCAGCTGATGCAGACTTTGACTGTCCAGATTCATTTGCTGTGTATAAAAGTCAAGGGTGTGCAATTTACTGAAACAGCCGTATTTATTGTTCCCCTTTAAGCATGATTTTTATGATTCATGTGTTTAAAGTACTCATAAGTACGTACCTCTGGGGGGCATTTCACCCTCACTGCTGCAAAGATATTTTCTCTTTTTGTGCATCCTTCAAGATAACATAGAGGGTAATAGTTTTTATACCATTTGCATTATAAGGGTCATGGCTGTGTTGAGAGACAGGTGGGTGTGCTGAAGCTCTTTGCCAAAGGAGGCAAATCTTCCTCTCTCTCTCTGTGCCTGCTTCTGGGGTAATCAGAAATACAGTTGAGTCATGTGTTTTCTGATTAAGAGATTTCTATGAGCCTGAACTTTGCACATTTTTAATGAAAGAGTTTTCATTCTTACTGTCAATGCATAACATTTCCAAATATCAATAGTTGATCTCATGAACTACTCATAACTGGTATCAGTCCTAATAAAACAATATCCATTAAGGGTGGGAATCACTGGTGACCCCATGATACGATATTATCACGATACTTGGGCCACGATACAATATTATTGCGATTTTTAACATTTTGCAATACAGTGAGTATTGCGATACAATACATTGCGATTTATTTCCATGTAACGCATCTTTCGAATCTTATTTATATGTGTTGCATTTACTTTCTTCTGCTCTATGACGTCACCTCTGCCAACCTCACTGGACAAACAGATGATTTTATTTTTCCATTATCATAGATTTGACTTCAAATTAGCAAGTAATTTGAAATAATCAATATTTGGTAAATGAGACGATACGATATATCACCAGACAAAATATCAAGATACTATTCTGTATCGATTTTTTCTCCCACCCCTAATGTCCATTGATCCATCGAAGATAGGCTGAAAAAATTGCTAATATTGTCTTAACAGACTTTGGGATTCGTTGTTTTCTTCTTTTAAAAGTTACATTTTTTGTGACAGTTGATGGAGCATGAAACAGGAAGTGAGTGGAGAGCAACATGTGGGAAAAAGGGCCGCCTGTGTAAGGATCACAGCCTCTGTAAATGGGACACCGGCTTAGACCTCTAGGCCAGTGTCGCCCCTTGGGATTACTTGTTTTTAATAACTTGTCCATACATTAACCTCATTCCTATCATTCTAACCTAGAATGAACGCCATGGAGTCTGAGTCTAACACTTCAATCAGTCCACATATTTTTCTACTATAACAGCTTTAAGCAGCATAAGCATTTAAGATACAAACACATGCATTACTAATGGCATTATCTAGAGGACTATAGAAACAACCATACTTAACCTTTTCCACAGGTCTTGCCTCAATAGCCCCTTGAGCAATGTTAAGCTGATTATCCCTTTTGGAAATGTGTAATTGTTCTGGATATGTTGGTATAAATGGAACACCTTGACTATAACAATCATCCGAGTGAATAAACCTAAACCGTCCTCAATGCACTGATGGCTATGGTGCTTAAGATTTGAAGACTCATTAGAAATAAGCTTGAGAACATCCTGAGATACATCACTGAAAGAAGCAACTAAGTACTTCGTTTTTTTTTTTTTTTTTGTAGGATGTAGAAATACATGCATGCATAATTACACCCTGCACATTTTTATTTTGACTGTATTGAAAATTTCACTTTTACTCAGGCCAGATAAGACTGCTAAATGCATGGGGGAAAAAGTCAAATGATACAACTGCTATAACATACAAGTAAAATATTCAAAGCAATGTACAGTAATTATTTGTTTTGCTTTTTAAATTATTATTTTTTTTGCTTATTGCATTGACTGAACTCTCACGTTTGCTCTTGCACAGAAATATAAGACATAGAAAAGATTCCTGTGGGCGTAAACACTTAGTGCCCAAATGTTGACCAAGCAGCAAGGCAACAAGGAGGCAGAAATTTGATCAAACATTTGAGAACACAAAACTTTATGGACCCAGAATTCAATTACCAGGAACATAAAAAAGTAAACGAGTCAAGTTTATTCAATGTAACAACTTAACAGGTGTTAAGTGGACCAACAAACCTAATGCAAATCTTTTTTTTTCATCTTTGAATTTTCATGGTGGGTTGCAACCGATGTCAAGGTCTATATACCCTCGCTACAAAATAAACAAACATCAAAACAGTAGGAAACAAAATCTTTTATTCAGCATAATTTCCCCAACACAAATACACATAAGGGAACATACAGCTTTTTCTAATTAACAACACACTAGTTTTGTCAACCTAAAATCTTGGACAAACAAACTCCAATAGGATTAATGTGAGAGTATTTTGTAACCATGTGTTGCTTCAGTACACCGTGTTACTTAAACTAATACACTTTGTACTGTTGTCATGAATCAAGGCCGTAGGAGTTAATCTTGATTTACCTTTATCTTCTTTCACCCTGTCTAGAGCGGTCAATTATTAACATCATTATTCATTTCCCGTTGGTAGATCACTGTGCTCTCTCCTCTCTAAACATTCAAGTTGACCCGTATTTATTCAACTCTGGTTGATCCACACACCGATTATCACAGCAAAAGCAGCAGTGGTAAACTTCTCACTCTGTCTGCCTGGTTCTTTGCCAGTATTGCCCTCAGCTCTGGTCTCCAACAGTCCACTTGAAATATGTCTTCTGCTTCAGATGGACAGAAAAGGGAAGTCTTCTCTGTCTACCCCGGCATTAGCCTGTACTGATACCGAGGGAAATCCTGCTGTGGTGCGTAATGGCTCCCACAAACCCTTGCCGACTCCCCCTAAAGCTTTGACTAATGATCCACCTTGTGGTCTGTCTGTTTGTACATGTGGGGGGTTGTGTGTTTGTGTGTGTCCATTCGTGTGTGGTGGCATGTGGACAACATAAATACAGAGACAGATGACAGGGACCACGAATGGTTATGCTCCGTATCCAAATCGTTCAGTCTTTGTTTTCTGTCTCTCTTGACATGTCCCATATGTTAGAGGTATGACCACTGGCCAAATGAGTTCCTTACCTGTCTTATGTGTCGTCTTTGGGTGCAGTGGATGACAAGGGAA